AAATGTCTACCAGAGTGTATACAAATTTGTTTCAGAGCATTGTATGATACAGTGGAAGAGATATCTGCTGAAATTGATGACCAACAAAAAGGATGTTGCCCTTCAGCATTTGCTCGTCTGAAACAAGGCGTAAGTACATACTAAAGTAGTCTTAATATATACTCCCTCCGTTTACTTTACTTGTCATATTTCGCTTCTTAAAAGTCAAACTACATGAATATTGATCAACACTTTAAAATGTATCCTTTTCATCATATTAATATAAGAAGATTTGCAACTTATAGTATTTTTGAATAGTTTTCGAATACCTAAATTTTAATTTTAAAACATTCAATTTAGCTTCGAAAAATCAATCAAATTGACTCTCTAGAAGCGAACATGACTAGTAAAAATGAACAAAGGGAGTACAATTAGCCCGACTCATTCAAATTCGAATTTTAAGATTGGTTTGACAGCAATAAGATTTGAAGTAAGTTATTTATACCTATTAAGTAGATTTTTTAATATAAATACACTTTCTTAAGCTAAAGTTACTGAGTTTTACCGAATCAGTAACTTTAACTATAGGTCCTCTCTGACCAGGAATTTCTTCATTATATTAACGAAATCCTTTTCTTTTTCTTTTCTAAATACTAATGGAAGCCGAAAATATAAACATTATTTATTAGATTCATATTATTCAAATAAAATCCGTCGTCCAAATTATCTAATCACGTACTCGTGTTTTTCTTTTGTCTTATGTGTCTACCATGTGCTTATTAATTAACTTTATATTACATCTTTTACATGATTTTTTTAACCAAAGTTTGCTAATCTATGTTTCAATAATTCAGTGGCTCAACTTTTGTAAAGCCATGCTGGTGGAAGCAAAGTGGTACAATGAAGGCCATATACCAACACTTGAAGAGTATCTTAACAATGGGTGGATTTCATCCACTGTTCCATTACTTTCTGATTATGTGATTTATGGTTTCACAAATAATAAAATCACAAATGAATCACTTGATTCAAGCAAAAATTTCCAAGAAATTATTTACCACACTTCAGTTATATTTCGACTTTGCAATGACCAAGGTACCTCAACGGTAAGTCCTAGTTCAAACTTAATTTTACCTCATTCTATTTTCATTGTCCCTTATAGTTTTTTTTGTCATAATATACGTAGGTGGAGCTAGAGAGAGGTGATGTTGCTTCATCAATTATATGTTACATGCAACAAGAAAATGTCTCAGAGGATGTAGCTCGAGAGCATATCGAAAGCTTAATTTTGGATTCGTGGAAGAAGATCAATTATCATTTTAATACACTTTCTATGTCCCATCGAGAAATTGCTAAGCATGTAATAAATATAGCGCGAATGGGACATGTTATGTATCAATTTGGAGATGGATTTGGGGTTCAAGATGGCAAAACTCGAGACCATATCCTAAGCAACTTGATGGAGCCTATTACATAATCATTTTCTAGCCTTCTAGAAATATGTTATATGTATGAACAAGAAAGATATGATGTTTTATATTCTGCATGAGCCCTTTCGATTGTATGCCATAATAAAATCTTTCTAATAAATATCTTGTTGATGATTTGATTTTAACCTATTATTTACAATCTTTGTGTGTACTTAATTTTCGCCTAAACCTAACTCATTTGAAGTTAAGAAAAATGAATCATCGGGCTTGAATGAACTCGTTAATTATCAATATGTTAGCTTCCTATATTGTACACGTGTCATCATACATTTCTGCAAGAAGCTAGTTATTTCCACAACTTAAACTAGAGGCAATGATCATATGACAATGGTAAGTCTCTTTTTTTTTTTTAATTCATAGAATTAGTACAAAGGGTGATTATTTCAAGTATGAAAACTTGTGTCAAATTTTGTCTGAATATGAAGTGCGACACATTGCTCTCAATAGAGCATATTCTTGAAATGTTCCACAAGAAGAGCATATACCCGAATAAACTATTCATTATGAGTTATGACCAAACAAAAGACAAAAAAAAATCAAATGGAATACATAAATGCCTATTTTCTTCACTTACTTTATCTCTATTGAGCTGCTGCAGCGCAGAAGAAGCTCTACTCCATGTTTCAGAAGGTAACACTCCAATATCCACTTTCTTCAATATTTATGTCAATCATTATTGTATAGTTTAATGTGAGGTAAGAATTTAAGTACTACTAATACTTTTATCGGTTTACTGATGATTAAATCGTGTCATAGAAAGTTATTTATATTTACGTGATAAATGACCTGATCGTATAAATATGTTTATATCGAGAGTTCATATATATAAATGTAAAGCCAAATATAGGTCCTTGAATTGGTAAAAGTGGTAACTAATTACAGATCTAGAATATAATAAGCTATAATGTTAGCTAGCAGGGAATATTAGGACACTAAAATATCGATTGTTTTAGTATTGTGTTATAACAACACATCTAGAAAAGAGAAATGTTCTTTGACCTTCCAGAAGCCTATTGTTATTCTTCCCCTTTCTTTTCATTCAACAACAAACGCCACAAGTCTCCCCCTGTCAAATCATAAAAAGAACTTGGGCCATCTCAGTCCCTCGTGGGCCTTGCCATAAGCAAAATGTAGACATTATATATCCAACAATTCTCCTCCCAATATATGCCTCATGCAACATGTTGTTCTTGACAATCGAAATCATGACTTTTGATTTGATACCGCTTATTAGGATTACGCTTATCATCATGCTAAAGTGAAATATATTCTCTAAATATAAAGACTTTTTATTATTAACGCTTGCTAATTTAAACATAAAATATGTAGCTAAACACTTAAGGGTATAACCTACTAGTTAATGAAACCAACAATGCAAACCTTAAATACTTAAGTATCAGTTAATTAACTGAATGATATTAAACAGAGCATGGCGAAGATCAACTAGGTAACAATTGTCACTTGGGCAGTGGCAGTGCCACATGTATTCAGTTGTGAATTGACATTTCTTTATCAAAAAATTACACACATATATTCTTTAACTTTGTTTTTTTAGATTTATTCTTTTATTTATTGATATTCTTTAGTGAAAATTCTGATTTAATCGCTTCGAAATAATGGCAAGGCTCAAGTTACCTAGTTAAGAGAGCAAGTTGTCATTGCAATTTGCCTTTTAGAATCTTGTCCTAATTTACAACTCTGCTCATATTATATGGTTTGACCTAGTAGAACTAAGACAAACAAAAGGTATAATTGATCATTTTCCCGTATCGCTATTTAAAATTCGACGTATATCGTGTGAATATTGAAGCAAATCTTTAGTCTTAGAAAATTAATGAAAAATTCTAAATTGGCTTGCTGTCATGTGAATGAAGCAAACGTGCAGACAGGAATTAAAATAAAATATATTAAAGCTTTATTCTCTTGCCAATAAATAATATTGTTCATCTTATTTTAAAAAAAATCTAAGTGTATATACTTTTGCATGATGATCAGACGTGTTCCTCGAACGTGATTTCCTAGTTGCACTGTTCCTTTATTTTTAAAATTCCTATTCCCACGGATAAATAGCTATGACTTATTTTAAAATAAGATATGTAGAATCGTTTATTTTATAGTTATAAGGTATTATTTGATCTATTCTAATATTTAGATTTACACTCTATTCCAGTTTGCTAATTTTCTCTCACACTTCTCTATCACTCCACTCCAAATGCTTATTGACTTACTTTTTGCACCTAATGGCGTGCCCAAGTAGATGGTAGGTAGCTCCCCTATTTGCCCCCCTAGCGTATTGGCTAGCTCCTCAATTTGCACCACTTCATTAGTTGGATAGATGTAGCTTTTCCCCCAGTTTATATGAAGGCCTGACACAGCTTCAAAAATAATGAAAATGGTCCTCAAAATCAGAAAATGGTTCCTCACTGCTTCACAAAAAACTAAGGTATCATCTGCATACTGTAGGTGAGTGATTTCTAGGTTGTTACTTGCCCTGTTTTGCACTTGGAACCCTCTGATCCAATTTACAGAGGTTCATAGAATCAATTTCATTTAACTAGTCGATTTTAGTAGTCTCCAACAAATTAATTTTACAATCATTAGTCTTGTAGTCTTTCTTACACTTCAGTTTTTGTAATATGAGTTGAGAAAAAACAAAAACTTGATATTCACTCGAATTAAATGATACAATGTAAAAGTGAGATAAAGGGGGTGTATTACGAATCAAAGTCGAAATTGGTATGAACTTAATTATAACTATCTAACAGTAGACATTGACCATCGGACATTTGAAAAAAAATAAAAAGTAATAATCTAAAAGTAGGTTTATTGAAAATTTAAATTTTGATTCAAGTCATTTGAATCACTATATAGATCTATAGTTTCATTTCTTGACTAAACTTAAGGACTAAGGAAGTTTTCACAATTAAGATGACGAACTACATAATTTCATTTCTTGACTAAAATTAAGGACTAAGAAAATATTTTTTTATGTTTTATTAGAAATTTCACATTCGAGCTCTGAAAATAAAATCACTATTGAGGAGCTTTATCCCAAAATTGACCTTCCTACTTGAATTTGAAATAGCCAAATTATAAATAGGAAAATCTAAAGATTTATGGACTTATTACATTAAAAAAAAGAAGAAAAGAAAACAAAATGCCATGTTTGACCTTTGAATACGTAATGTATGGTGAACCACTCCGGTCTCCTCTTGTTATACCCGGCCCAAACTTATTTGGTCAATGAAGCCCAAACAACATTCCTGGCCCACTATCTTTCCTAATAAGCCATTTAGAATCACCCACGTGTCGACATTTTCCAACTCTACCGGAAAAGTCCCCGAACCGTGCGTTGTGCAGTCACCTAGAATAAACGACAACTTGACGCCGTCAAAGGAATCCAACGTCTCCCGTTTTTCCTCGAATAAATCAACTGACGCACACCACAGTATTTCTTTTTCTTTTTTATTTATTTCACGGAGGCATTTCATCGATTTCCGTTATTTTGCCGAACCGCGTGGTTCGGAAATTAAGCCTGAGGTTTGGAAATCTGGCTCTTTAAGCCTTTCAATATTTTCCCTCTTTCTCACACTTTTTGCAAGCGTAAGAATAAGTCACTCAAAAAGCACCCATCAACAAAAAATCCCCAATTGCCGGCGGCACACGTTAGTGAGATCGGAGTATACGATGGCCGATCACGCCGGCGAGCACGAATCAGTCGTTGAATCCGTCATGGAAAAGATCAACGACAAGTTGCACGACCACGATTCTTCCTCATCGGATTCTGAAGATGACAAGGAGAAAATATCGTCGGTCGATGCCGTCAAGGCAAAGATCTATCGTCTCTTTGGCAGGGAAAGGCCCGTCCATAAGGTTCTCGGCGGTGGAAAACGTACATCTCTCTCTCACTCACAATATCTATTTTTCTCGTATAGATTTATGTAGTTTATGTTTTAACACAGTATGCCTATACTTCAGAATGTGTTTAGATTTATTTGGCATTGGTGTTGAGATGCGCTTTAATTTCTTTCCTTTTCTAAAATCTGAAATCAGAGATCTATCGAAATAGTTCGACCTCCATTCATTCATTCGTTCGTTTATTATGAAAATATGTAGCTAACATTTGGATCCAGGCGAGCGTTTTTCTATTGTTGTCCTTTTCTAATACAATATTATTCATTGGCTTCGCATGGATCTGACATTGGTTGTATTGTTATTTTTCATCATTAAGTATGATTGCTCGAATTGGATTCCTGGTGAATTCTTTCCTCTTTTCCTTTCCTTTACTAGTAGTGGTACATAGCGTCCCCACACATCACTGGTAGGATTACACTGTATAAGTTGTTGTAGTAGTAGTGGTACATGGCGAGATTTTATTGATTACACTGCAAAGATACTATTTGATAACTGTAAATCAATGGTGTACTTGCATGCTTCGATGTTACTCGTATTGGTAGTCCATGGACTGAAGAAAACAGTTCCATCAGTAGGTTTTGTAGGCCAATTTTGAATTTTCATGTAACAAATGTATATTTGATATACAAATCTAACTTTGGAAGCATGAATTTCTTACTCTGGAAGAGCAAAATGATTTTTTTATGTCAAAAGTTCAGGGTGTGAGTATCATTAGATATTTATGTAAAGCGCGTGGAATTGTCCATTTTTCCTTTGAAAAGTTCAGGTTCCTTGAATGACTTGAAATTGTCAGAGCTATTCTAGCTTTTCACACCCCCTTCTCTTTGGGCTTTGAGTCATAGTGCTAGTGTGCATGTGTCTACTAGGGATTTTTTAGTTTTTACGTGCATTAGTCAAGATTTGAACCTTTTATATGTAGGATTCATCTTCTTTTGCTTTGACCCAAAATAGCCAAGTGTTTTTTCGCCTCCCAGGTGTCTTCCACCCCATTTTCTTCAAACTCCTTTTTTTGGCCTACTTTTGAAGTTCATAGAATTTGAAGCTTCAGTAGACGTGTCTGATGTGTAGTTAAACAGTTATGCAGTTTCTTTTATATCTGCATGGTTGTGTTTATGTATCTAATTACTCAAATTCTTATGGGCAGCTGCGGACATTTTTCTGTGGAGGGACAAGAAAATTACTGCCGGTGTGCTTGGGTTTGCCACTTCACTTTGGGTGCTTTTTGAGTTGCTTCAGTACCATTTGCTTACACTTGTGTGCCATATACTGATCCTTGCATTGGCAGTCCTTTTCCTTTGGTCCAATGCATCCACCTTCATCAACAAGTAAGTATCCTCTTTATCTTCTTTAGTAATTTGTCTATCCAGATATACATACCTTAGGATTGACCTTGAAATATATGCACCAGGTCTCCACCCCAAATTCCAGATGTCATTCTGCCTGAGGACATTGTCCTGGGTGTTGCTGCTGCACTCAGGATTGAAATAAACAAAGCTCTTGAAATTTTTCGGGATATTGCCTCTGGGAAGGAGTTGAAGAAATTCCTCGCTGTATGTTATCATGTCCTTCTTGTTGTATAATTCTCTCCATTATCTTGAGAGAATCAGCTTGATTACTACTTCCATGTTTTAATACAAAAATTACATGCAGGTTATTGCTGGTTTGTGGGTTCTTTCTATATTGGGCAACTGCTGGAACTTCCTCACTTTGTTTTACATATGTAAGTGATCTACTCTAATGTTGCTTACTTGGAGTGTATAGGGTGTATTATTCAGTAAAATTCTAATAGTGCGTGTGATCTCTTCTATCTGCAAAAACAGGCTTTGTATTGCTCCATACCGTCCCTGTACTTTATGAGAAATTTGAGGACCAGGTTGATGCTTTTGCTGAGAAGGCTGAGGCAGAGATCAAAAAGCAGTATGCTGTTTTTAACGTCAAGGTTCTAAGCAAAATTCCAAGAGGTCCACTGAAAGACAAAAAGTTCTTATAGACATGAATAGGTGGCACCACCCTTTAGGTTCCTCTGGTTGTTGTGATTCAGTTATGGTAGAAAACCCTTTGTTTACTTGTTTTGCTTGATTATTACTAAACAGGCTTGGCGTTTTTGTGGTAGTTTTGAGTTCCAGATATGGTTTTCTTTTTGTTAAATTTTTAAAGACTGCTGTAAGATTTTGGCAGTCATCATGTGACGGTAAAACATCAATATGCAAGTGAGTGTTGCTTTAAATTATAAGTCAGATAATGGAAACACAACTTTGATTCTTGTTTGATAGCAATGTCTGTCTCTGTGAGTGGCTACTCTAATTCTGGAACGATGCAAATATCCACTGGTTTTCATTACAGTTATTAGCTTGAGTTACGATGGGAAAGACTCGAGCTTTAGAAAAAAGATATATCTAAATTGTCATATTTTTGTGACTTTACCTCTAGGAAAAGTTGTAGATTGGTAGCTATCCATTGTCTGTCTACTCGCAGTAGTTCTGATAGGTAATTTATATATGTTTAGGTTGTTATAATCATCAATAGTCTCAATCTGTACGAACCCAATTACAAAATCTATTTCATGGATGAGAATTTTTCATTTCCATAATCTTGAAATTAGCGAGGATGCACTTTGAACATCTCATGTAAAGCTCCCCAAGCAAGCCAGAAGCACCGGAAATGCCGAAACAACATGCAAGGCTAATTTATTGTTACATTTGATTGATATGCAGCAGATTCTCAAAATGTGGTATTTTCATGTTGATATTAGTTACAATCCTTCACATCATTTTTTCAATCCCCAGCAAAGGAACTATTCGCAGTATGTTTTGATATATTAACAAGGATCTTCCATATGCTTCCACATCATGCATGTGGCTCACTAACTCGCCTAGTATAGCCCCCACCGCCTGAAGAGTGATCTATCAACTGTGTCATCTGAGTCATCTGAATAACTATCACTATCCAAGGAAGGTATGGACTCCTCTATTACATAGTCAACAATCTGACAACGACAAAAGATATCATTGAGAAAACCTTGTAGGACTAGCTACTTAAGATGGTGAAACATAGTTAATGAAATAAGAAAATCTGAATACACAGTGCTGAGGAGACAACATTCACAAACCTGTTCAAGTGACACAGGTATGATCTGATGTTCATCAGAAATTTTCCCATCGCATTCATTGGAACACTTGGAATTACTCAACCAAACAATTGAATTGCACTGCTCGCAAAAGCCCCTCAGGGATGATACCTTGTTTGAAATACCTGAGTCAAAACAGATAGGTATATAAAAAGAACCGACACAAGAAAATTTGGAAAGGAAAAAGAAAACAAGCAGACATAGTAAAGACCTCTCTGAATGAAGGAAGACAAACGATAATTCTAAAATAGTCCAAGTGGACTATGAACCATGCAACATAGAAAAAATAATGAAAACCATAGCTGGAAATGTAGTTCCATCTAACCAAAGTGGGATCACAGCCAATGGAAATACCTCTATAAGCTCGCTTGAAAGCATCTTTCCAGTCAACATTATCTGCAGAGGTATTTCCCGGAGTAAAAGAAATTCTCTCCACACCGTTAGTAAACCTGATAATGTTTGGGATGTCACTTGACTTCCCAAAAAAGATAATATGTATAGACTGCCAGAGATGATTGTCACTAGCTGCCACACTCCATGACCTGCAAAGTTATACACTTTTTGAGATACCATCTGATATGATAATTGATTAAATCACATAGAGGACTAGGTCCAATGTTCAAGAGATGCCTACACAGAATTTAATTAATGCAACTACTTAAGTTGGATAAGGAAAGCCTCATACCTGCAGACTGAAGAAGCAGTAACAAGAGACTTCAAGTCTAAGAAACCAAATACGTGTACAAGAACATCCTGAGGAAGTTGGCTCATACCTGGAATGCAAATGCAGCACTACAAAATTAGAATGCAGTGAGCAGATGCAGAAGTATTAAGAAATGTTTGAAAAAAGGATGCCATATTGGGTGTCATCCTAGATAACTTTATATGAAGCATATCTTATAAAAGATAATCTCAGTAGGAGGAACATCTATACTGTGAACAAGCATATATATTAGTGAAAGATATATACACTGTGAACAAGCATATCTTATACAAATGTGTATAATAGTGTATAAGAGGTACTTATACATATTTTTACATTGTTATACATAATTATATAATATAAAACATATATAATATGTTTAAATAATGTATCGAACTCGTACAAGTATGGAAAAAAGTAAATTCACAGTGAAAGATAACCCAACTGCTTCAACTATTTCTGAACAGTGACATGGTAGTACATGCAATCATTCTACAGAATAGTGCTCAACAACTGCTTTTGGTGAAGACATATTTGTACAAAGTAGTCGATGGAGGAGCCACTTCTTTTGCCAAAAAAGTGGGCTATCATGGGTAAATTTAGAAAGTTGAGCAAAAAAATGTAATAATTATATCTCAATGTTCATACAATGTAAATTTCCTATTAATTTATTTTTAAATGATTTATAATGTGGGTCTAAGCAACTGGGCTGAGAGATTCAAGTTGATGCTCAGTAGGAGGAACATCTACACTATGAAAGGTGCTTTATGTGTCAGATGGACGCAGAAAATGTGAGACATCTTATTCTTTACTGTAAAGTGACGCAGACATGTGGAATATGTTTTTCTTAAATTTTGGACTAGCCTAGATCATGCCTAATAGTATTGAAGAAGCATATGAAAGCTGGTGTTTGTGGAGAGTTGGCAAATGCATAAAAAAAAATCGGCTAATGGGATATCAACTCCAAACCAAGCCCTCAAGGCTATGTGTTTGCTTAATCTTTTTAATTGGCTCAATCAGGCCCATGCTTCCAGTTGTGATCATTTTTTGTACTGCGTTTGCTCCTTAGTTTTTACATAGATTTTGTACACGAGCAGGCTCACTTTTTACTTGTATCCCTTTTTTGTTATGCATCTTCATGATGCCTTTTAATGAAAGTCTCTTGCTTCATAACAAAGAAGGGATGCCATATTGGATGATTCTCTACAACTATTTAAGCAAATCATCTGTTATTAACATTACCATTCCTTATTAAAAACTACATCAGTTTTAGCTGTGCCATGAGGGTTGGTGGAAGCAGTACAACTTTGAGTTTTAACTGTTCACTGGAGGATGAACTTTTGCCTCACTAAGCAGTATACTACACTATCCATCTCTCCACTAATGTGTTCCCCTTTACAGGGAAAAAGAGAGGCGGAGGGATGTTCTCATCTAAGGCCTCTCAGAACTTGACACTCGAACATCTCTTGAATTTCTTTTCCTGGGGGTTTGGGGGTGGCGAGAGATGTTGTTTGCATTTCAGAGTTTTGGAAATAACTCTTTTTATAAAACATAACAATGGTGGGCAGACCAGCTTGCACGTACCTCGATTAATTCCCCAGGGTACCTGATACCTCCCACCAACATAAGTATGGTAACTCTGTCCAAGTTCTGGAAATAAGTCTACTATATCAAAATTTTGATTTTGAAAGTGCTGTCAACTCTAGTCCGTCAGACACAGCTGCAAGTTGAAATCTAAAATGGCCTTGCAAGAAAATGTCACTATGGCAGGAAAGCAACGCAAAGGAGCTACAGGTGTCCTAATCCAGGGTTTCACAAAGAGGGAGTCCACACCAAAAGCACTAAATGAGTCTAGTGCTATTTTTATTTAGAACACATGTTCAATTAAAAGTACCTTCTAACACTGGTCGGACCTTCCTACGCCTCCTATGAGTAACCATAGCCTGTTTGAATTCAGATGCAGCTAAGGCTTTCTTTTGTTTTGGTAATGCAGCTTCCATGCTTTGAAGCAAGCCATGTGCTGCTGATATAGCCGCTTGTGTCTGCATTCTGAAGTGACAAAAACATTAAATATTAAAGTTCCTTTTACTTGGAGTAGCAAAAATATCATTAAATACATGCCAACAACAACAAATTTCATAAACAAGGAACATCTGAAATTTTCTTTTCTCAATATCAGCAAATTAAGTTATCTATAAAATCTTCTGATTCAGGGACCTCAAACAAGGTACAGAGGATTGCATCTCTTGTTCAATATGGCAGGGCTCCGTCAAGCCCTTATTAGCAGCAGATGCTTACCATCAAGAAAACAGGAAAAGGTGAAAACTTGGTAACTAGTGTCTTTATATGGTCGACCAACACATTAACACAAGTGACAAGTCCCACAGCAAATGTTGATCAACTATGTCATTAATAACCAAAGTTACAAGTTTAGCTACATGCTTCCCCATTTCTTGATACATATACCAGGAACTTCGAATTCTCAACTGTAGTAATGAACAATTTCCTAGTGAGTGAAGAGGAACCAACCAATCCTTACTATTTAAGTACACGTAATTGAAGTTGGAGAATCAGGCAATAGCTAGTAATCACTTACAACTAATTCCTAACTCTTTTTTTTTTTCTTATGATGAAGTATAAGTGTACAACTAATTCCTAACTACTTCTCTCTCACCCTAACCTTTCGTTTCTTCCATTGTTGAATTGCAGGAGTTAGAATAGTTTATCAATGGTGTAATACTTCCATTTACTCATGGATTAATAAAAGTTTTCCGGTTCTCAATCTCTTTTCATCTTTCAATTCTTCAGTACATAACAAATCATGTGCTGTTGATGAGAATTAAACTTTTCTACCAGTTAATTCATTAGTCAATTATGCCTCAAACCCCAAATTAATTAAGTTGACAACATGAAATCCTGTTCATTGTAGATACACTGGCTCTGTACAGAGCGGAGTTACAATCCTATTAATCGAATGAAAGAAAATAAAAGGGGAAACCCATTTAATTTTCAGGCAAACTATGCAGTAATTTCGAATGAAAATTGACAAAGAAGGCGTGACTTACTCAGGGAGGAGACCAAAGGCGGCGAGGGAGTCTTGGAAGATGAGAGATTGCAAATTTTTGGGAATTCTGGAATATGCATTTCTTAGAATACGGCTTAGCTCATCACAAGTAATTGGGTAACGATAGGGTTGATTCAACGACTCCTTTAACCCTAGTTTTTGATACCTCTCCATCATTGAACTTCCCATCTCCACTATTTCGAGCCAAACCAACACATTAGATCGTAA